AGGGGCGCCGCGGCTCGTTCAGCAGACCTCCACTTTCAAACAGTTCACAAAAAGTTCATCAGGGCGGCGATTATAACTGCGCACCCCGGGGGGCGGCCAGCGCCGAGGGGTGGCTTTGGGGAAGGGGCTGGCAGCCGTCGGGGAGCACGGGCTCTGACCCACCCGGGTGGGCCCTGCGACATCCCACCGCGTCCTTCGCCCTGGCGGGCTTTGCCCTGCTCCTGTGGTGGTGGTGATGGTGGTGGGATGTGGGACCTCCAAGATTCCCCGCTGCGGCTGGGGAAGGTCTCCCCCCCACCACCCCCGTTGCAACTTCAGCATTTCGCTATCTGCACATGTCAGGGGGATTGACGGGCTCTAATTCAGGCACTGCGCTTTATCTTAATGGTACACTTCCAGCGAGGAAACCAGGCGGGCGCAGGCGTGGGTTGGCCTCGCGTGCCCCCGAAGGAAAGCGGGGATCGGGGGCCGTGGGCCACCGAGGCCCTTCTCCTCCGAGCCAGCGTCCATCCCTCATGGGTGAGGCAGCGCACGGGGCGGCTACTAACCTTATGTAAAACCCTAAATCACTCTCGCCGTGCTGCTGCTGCCGCTATTGAAAACATTACGAGCGGCGCATCTGGAAACCAGTAAATCTGTCCAGAAACCGTCTTTCCAGTGAAATAACTCCTTTTGAATGATAGCGCGGTATCTAATCTCCGCGGATTTTTGTTTCCTCGCAGCGATTTTTGTGGACTTCATTAGGGAAAGCTAACCGTTCCGGAGAGAGGAGGGTCAACACGCCGTTTCATTAATATACATTTGTTCCAGACGTGGAGTTTTGCACAAAAGGCCTCTCTGAGGGGAGAAAAAAGTGTTGGGGAACAAGGCTTTCCTGCCGTTTCAGTTCTTAAACCTCTCTGAACGTGTGTGAAGTATTGTGTTAAAGGCCCAATCTGGGCTGCTTCCCCATTAAATGCCAAAGTGATCATTTGCATATTTTGTAGCCTGACAAAGGAAATGAGTTTGCTGGGGAAGCATGGATGCTTTGGGAGACGTTAGGCATTAAACTCCCAGTGGTCAATCGCCCGTTACTGGCTTGTGTGTGTGTGTGTATGTGTGTGTAAAGGGAGTATCATGCCTCCCGCTTAAAGGCTTCTATTTTTGTGAGAGAGGAAGAGCTGAGGGATATCCTGTGCATTAAAGGCTCCCCCTACTTATTAACCCAGCATTTAGCAGCAGGATGCAGGCTGAAGCTCAGTCAAAAGAAACGACTCAACCTCCGAAGAGCAATTAAAATCTTGCACTGGAATAAATCATGCGCCGCGATAATCCTGTTAATAAAACGCAGCTTGTCCTGACACTTCGCTCATGCAGCAAACTAGAATTTAATGCGAGCGGAGGTGGCGGTGTTGGGCAAGGTGGAGGGGAGGAAAAAGCCGTTCCCCCTCCGCCACTGGACGCGAAAATGCGGTTACCTTTCACCTGCCTCTCCGGCTGCACACAGCGCCGATCCTCTTGGACTGCTAATACTTCTCCAGCGAGCTCGCTAATGATTTCTTTCCCTGGAGTGAGCAGGCATCATTGAATTACTGAAAGCACACGCAGCAGCAGCAGCAGCAGCAGCAGCTCCGATGCAGAAGCCACCAGGGCTCGGTGCTTAATCAAATCAAGGGGTGGGGAGCTCGCCAACCCACTTACTATTTTTAACCCCTTTCTCCAAGTTAGTCATGTGCAGACACTAAAGGGGAGGTTTTTATTTAGATCCCTTCTGTAACAGCGTCTCTTCAGTTTTAAGTCCTTGCGTGAAAGCAATCAGAGTACCTAACACACACACACACGCGCGCGCGCGCGTGCAGTGTGCGGCCGTTCTTGCCGTGCACTCCTGCTCCTGAGCGTTCCCAACGCAGGGCTTTGGTGAGCGCCTCCGGGTAGTTTGGCGTGTTCCCCCAGCCCGCGGGGTCTCCCTCCGCGGTTCAGTCCGTGCGAGATGAAGGTTCGGGGACTGGCGTATACTTGGCTGGCTGAGTCATTTCTTGTTCAAATGAAACGCAGCGGAGAAACTTTTATTTGTCGATAGCCTGGAATGATTCTTAATTTTCTGGATGGGCGCTGGGGAAAAGATCCATCTCCTCTGACCTATAAATGCCCTCAATTTGCTCCTTTATTGCAGGGTATCTCCCTTAGCGGTTAACGTAGGCAGCTCACTCCCCGCACCAATCCTGTATTCATTATTAATTACCCGGAGGGAGGCTGGCTGCTCTGCCGTGATGTTTGCACTTCCTCCTAGACAATTCTGCTCAACTTTTTTTTCTGATTATTATTTTCTTTCTTATTTTTTTTAATAGAATATAAAACCGTGAAGAAAAGCGGCGATTTTTAAGAAGACGTCATGCTTTCTGCAACTCCCCTGTATGGCAACGTTCATAGCTGGATGAGCAATGAAAGGGTCCGCATGTGTGGAATTAATGAAGACAGGTAAATATTTAAGCTTCTGGCAAGTTAAACCACACTGTAATTCTGCAGCGTGAGGTCTCGGAGTTCGCTCGCTTCCCTAATGCCGGAGTAGATAGCTGCCGCCTCGCATGGAGATCAGCCCAGCTTGGAGGGGGAGCTGGAGGGAGGGGGAGAAGCAAGACGTGCCTGAGAGTGCCTGAGAGCGGTAGAGCAGCCGCTGATTTACTATTTAACAGGCAACCTGGGTCAGTGAAGCGGGGACGCCCTTTAAAGAGATTACTCCCCAAAGCAGCCTTTAAACGCGCTTTTACAATTAATTTATTATTTCGTATTTGTGAAGGGGAATTAAACCAAATAGTGGCCGCGTTCTTGCGGTGGCTCTGTACGGCAGAGGGGCTCCCGCCTGCGACGCGGCGTTCCCTGCCTTTGGACCAACAGCTTGTCCTGTGAAATAGGAACAGCGGCCTTCCCGTCTCCCGCAAGTGGATTTCTTTTCCTCCCCACCTTTTTTTTTCCTG